TTCTCTTCTTACATTCATCCATAAATTCTATTAACACGCTTGTATTAGATACAGGATCCTGATATTTTCGTTTGGACATATCTTTTGCATTTATTATTTTTAATGTTGATCCAACTTTGGCGAGATTGGATTTTTTCCAATAGCACTCAACCGATGTGCAAGCAGGCTCTTCAGTGCGACGGTGCAACCACATTAAAAATGCAACAGCATGTTTACAGCCTCCAGCAGCTGCAGGACAATCTTCACAGAGAGCACTCTTAACTTTTTCTTCTTGTTCATCAACCAGTACTGTCACTGTATATTGCTTCAAGCGTACCTTGTGCTCTGGACATATTTTACATTTCACAGTGCAGATTTCATCATCACGTTTAACTTGAACGTAACCTATGGCATCATCGCCATACGACTCCCTTGCAGATCTGTAAGTAACAAATATAAGTAATATTAGTTACAAGCAGTAAGAGGTTATGAGATAGTTTTGTACGAATTATTTATGCTTATTCCATCTTATGTCGTTACATTACATTGCAATACCAAATGCACTGCACTGTAGCGACCGACCGAGGGCGAAAAGGTGTAAAGCAAGACAAAACACTATTTTTCCCCGGCCTTAACTTGTTGCTTTTAAACTTCTATTCGCGCGATGAATAAGCACAAAGTTTTAACCTACAGTGAAACCTTTACAGTACTTACATAGAAGTCTTGACATTCCTCAGCTCCGCAGAGCAGAAATCTGGGTTCAAGGCAAAAAAATTACCGACCATTAAAGTGTCGATTCTTGGCAAATTTGTACTTTCCGCTTTCACAAATCCAGCATCCATGATTGTTTTTATCAATTAAATGAGAAAACAGTAACAGTAACACGTAGATTATGGGACTTATTACGAAAGCTTTACAAAAATTTCACGATCACAACTACAACAAATCTATGAGCACAGATTATGTCAGATTTGTCAGAGTGACATTAGTTTGTTTATATGCACAGTGACGTCACAACATGGCCGACAGCGTTTTCAGCGATTCAAAAAATAAATAAAAATAATATTTTTTAAATGCGATCCTTGAGATCCATCCTTGGCTTTAATTAACTGAAATCGATATATTTTGGTTGCGTAGGTCAAATACTGCAGGAAATACTCATTTATTGTGCTAAATTTGATATGAGTCAAGTAGCTTATTTAATTGTTCTGGCAATTAAAGATTGACAATTGATTAATTGTCAATTGCGAAACAGCAATTAACGATTGATCAATTGTTAGTTGCGAGAACCGCAATTAACAATTAATCAATTGTTAATTGCGGGGGCAGGTTAGGGGGCCGGTTGGGGGCCGGTTGGGGGCCTGCTGGGGGCAGATTAGGGGCCCGGTTGGGGTCCCCGCTTGGGGTCCCCGCTTGGTGTCCCCGATTGGGGTCCCCGCTTGGTGTCCCCGATTGGGGGCCCCGGTAGGGCCCCCGGTCGGGGCCCCCGGTTGGGGTCCCCGCTTGGTGTCCCCGATTGGGGGCCCCATTCGGGCCCCCAACCGGGGCCTCCAACCGGGGTTTCCAACCGGGCCCCCCAACCGGGCCTCCAACCGGGGCCCCCAACCGGGCCCCCCAAACGGGGCCCCTAACCGGCCGGAATTGAATTTAATTGCAATTATTTTTTTTTTTTTAGTGTGTGCAAAAAAAAAAAATTAAAATCAATTGCAATTAAAACCAATTAAATTCAATCCAATTGATTTCAATTGAATTGAATTTTTAATCTGATTGAATTATTGATTGAAATTTAATTGATTAACGCCCAACACTTTGAGGCGGCGTGCTAGGATTGACTCGGGATTCCTTAGAACGGGCCGATACGGGTATTTTAGTTCGAGATTCGTATAATTTCGCGTTTTAATCTTCGATTAAGGCACAATAGCACTATCCTATTCCACTTTAAACTAGATTTCACAAAATAATTGAAAGTCAAAATAAAAACGACACTTTTCTCTCCAAAAGGCCCAGAGCGAATTGTCTCTAGAAGTGGGTGATAAATAACGTCACGATGAATAAATCACGATGATCCGCCGTCAAACAGTGTCGCCGTGACTCGTTCCGAAGGAACGACGTTCCAAAGTCACATAGGTGTTCCTCCGTTCCAATAGCTATCCCCGTCACTCACATCACGACATACGTATTTGATACAATGCGCGATCTCCGTTTCGTGGTGACTGAGCGCGCCACTCGTTGTAGTTCTCTTCAAAAGAAGTAACAGTCGTGACAAAATCACGATGATTTATCACTGTGATTTGTTTGGAACCGGTACGACAGTCACGGCGATTGAAATGTAACGCTATTCCCCATGTCTAATTGTCTCGACATTATAAACATCTTCTAACAGCTGTAGAAAGTATTGCCATTTTTCTGGATCAGATTGTTAATAAATGATTATCACTAATATCAGGTTTCTTACTACGGTATGACTTCTTTTTATTTTCCCGATATTTCGGAACGGTTGCACGCTTCATGTCTGAACCAGCAATTAACGCCCTGGAAAAAGGATTAAATTTCGCTCCTACCCCAACGCGCATTCCAATTGAAAAAGTCATATGTGGTGTTGAAGAAGCCATTGTGTGTAATAGGGTGCCAGCTAGTGATGCTGAAACCTTACGTCAAGACGTGGCTATAGCCTGGCGACACGCTCATCTACCACCAAAAAACATGAGTACTCAGGAACTGATGGGTGTAAAAGAACTTAGGGCTGATACAACAATTATAGTTCTAAAGGCAGACAAGGGAAACGCCACTGTGATTATGGACGCTGAAGAATACGACCGTAAAATAAAAGCTTTACTGGAGGATGGCATGACATACAACCCGACTGCCAGAGTGAAACGACAGACGTATGCCATTATTACTGAATGTAGGAGCGCTATCCCAGTTGATATTGAAAAACAACTGCTACGTCCTCGTATCGTCCAACCGCCGAGACTTTATGGTTTGCCAAAGATCCACAAAACTAACGTACCATTATGACCAATAGTGAATCAGATAGACTCACCCACGTTTCAATTGGCAAAATATGTGTCTCGTACACTAACACCTCTAGTAGGCACAACGAACCCTTTTGTGAAGGACTCCAGGCATTTCGTTGAGATCCTAAACAGTACCACAGATAACGAGAATGAGACAATAGTTAGTTATGACGTTGAGTCTCTTTTCACAAACGTACCAATAAAGGGGTGCATCGACGTTATCAAAGTGAAACTTCAAGAAAATAACATCCCAATGGAGATTGCTCAATTACTTGAACATTGCTTAAACACGAGCTACTTCCTGTGCAATGGCCAATACTACCTTCAGATTGATGGTGTAGCGATGGGCAGTCCCGTTGCTCCCGTTGTTGCCAACATTTGGATGGAACACTATGAACACGCCGCCATTCTGTCAGCACCATCAACAATAAAATTATGGAAGAGGTATGTTGATGACGTATTTTGCATAATGGAAGGAAAGGAAAAATCGCGCGCTTGCATTTTTGGATGTATTGGTCAAAGTCCGACAAGACGGTTCACTCGGTCATTCTGTGTACAGAAAACCAACTCACACGGACAAATATTTTCGTGCCACTTCACATCATCACCCAAAACACCTACATTCGGTCGTCAGGTCATTAACCAATAGAGCTTATGATCTTTGTGATGCACACCACCTACCACAGGAACAGGAGCACGTTAAGACGGTTTTGCGACAGAATGGATACAAAATAAAAACATTTAAACCAATACACAAAAGGAAGAAGCAAATTGACGTACAGAGACTACCAGTTTTTCTGCCCTATGTACAAGGGGTGACAGATAAAATAGCCAGGTTGCTAAGGAAGTTTTCCATAAAAACTGATTTCACCCCCTTAACCAAAATAGGAAAAATGTTACGTTCACCAAAAGACACCTTCCTTTACAAACACCGGGTGTCTATAAAGTGAACTACAGTATTGGGAGCTCGTATATCGGTCAGACTAAACGAACAATTGTCGATCGTATGAAGAGACACATCCGAGCAGTAAAAAAACAATGATGCACAGAAGTCGGCTATAGCACATTTCACACAGACTGACACTAACCATTGGATCGAGTTGCATAGCCCCCAGGTACTCTCGACAAAACGTCACTACATACCACGGTTGGTACGAGAAGCCATCGAGACCACGAAGTACAAAAATCCGGTCCTTAGTGCGTGCAGTAATAAAAACAAAAACACCTCGAGTACAGTTTTGCGTGTGGATACAGTGAGTGTGGTTCGTGTGAAAAAAGTGAGTGACAATGGTAACGCCACAACAAATCGCGATGAAGGTAGTCGTCGACAGCGCAAGAGGGTAGACAGATATGTCTGCTCGTAAAGCTGTTATCTGCCGCCGTCCACTCAACCCGTGACCATGGAGCGTGCAACCGTTCCGAAATATCGGGAAAATAAAAAGAAGTCGTACCGTGATAAGAAACCTGATATTGGTGATAATCATTTAGTGAATAACCACAAAAGTTTTAAAATCTATACAGATTATTAATAACTTTTTTAATTAAATTTTTATACATAATTACTTTACTTACCCTTTTTTACCTAAATAACAATGTTAAATTGTATGAAATGACCTTACTTTTTTTTTTCTTCATTGATCATCAATCATTCCATGCATAATTTAAAAAATCTACTTTAATTTTGTGGTCGTGCTGAGAACTCGAAGCCAACGCCACAACTGCTGTCACTGTCAGTCAAAGAAAGAAACAAAAGATCCCCCATTCCCAAACTTTCATTGTCTACCGCCTACTTTGAGAATAAAATATTTTTTAGCGCCCCCATTTTTTCACCTACTTAAAAACCACTATTACTTCAAATTAAATTAATTATTGTGAGCTATATTAGCGCAGATTAAACATTCATTCTAAACGAGACTTACTATAACCCGCAAGAGTTAACTTAAGATCTGCACGGTAGGTAGTACAAAACGGCACTCAAGTTAATTCTTACGGGCTACACCTGCCAATGTTTAAAGGTACTAACTGGGTGATAAATCTGCAATACATTTCTCATAGATGGCGCTACGACTAAAAAGTCGTTGAAAGACCAAGTACAAAGACACGACGCAAGCACATAGAAGAATTCGTGAGGTCCGTTGGTTCGTTCCGTGGCTTAGTTGGTATAGCGTCTGGCACGGTGTACAAGAAGACGTCGGTTCGAATCCGACCGGATCGAAGGAATTTTTTCTGAGTGTTCGATCTTTGTATTAATAATTATAACAATAACTTGTTAAAACATGATTGGACGCGGTCTATTATCTACGAAAATTACCTATCTAGGAATACTAATAACTATTAAAATGCAAAACTGTGTCTGTTGCCTTATTATTTTTTTGTTTGTGCCTATGTAGACACAAACAAAATTGCCATTAGGGTCGTATTTCCAGTGCTTGAAATCATGCTCAAGTCTGCTCAAATCCTGACTTGAGCATTGAGTGGAGATCCTAAGGGTCGTATTCCAGAACTCTACTCAATGCTCAAGTCAGGACTTGAACAGACTTGAGTATGGTTTCAAGCACTGGAAATACGACCCTAATGGCAAGGCCTTGAGTATGATTTTCAGTGCTCACTGCAATACTCAAGTCCTGACTTGAGCATTGAGTAGAGTTCTGGAATACGATTCAAAGGAATACAGAGTTTCTACTACTATTATCTAAGATTCTAAAATACCTACAACATAAGTTCAAAGAAAACAAGACACGAACTTAGATTGGTTGATGCGACAAACTATATACGTGAGAATGTAATACATGGTCAAAAATGAATTTATTGTTTATCAAAATATCTTCCTAGATGAAATTACAAATCTCTCCCTAAGCCTTTACACAACGCCCCCATTTTTTTTCTGGGTCTCTTACCGCCCCCTGTAGGCCTACAGCGCCCACAAGGGGGCGTTACCGCTTTTTTTAGGAAAGGCTGTTTTATGCCTAAGGCTCAACTCGCACTGGCGCAGAGTCGAAGCGTCGCGTCGCGTCCTGTTTTTCAACTCCACCGCCAGGCGACGCGCGACGACGTTCGCATTAGTGCACCGGGATCACAGTTTGGTCGGCGTCTGACGCCACACGGCGCCCAATTGACGCGACGCGTCGCCGTTTGCAAATTTTCAAATTAAAAAAAAAAATCCATATTAGCAAAACACAATTGTGTACCTTAATAATTGGAAAATATAGATAAATATGCTATAGGCGAGAAACATGACGCGTCGCGACGCTTCGACTCTGAGGGTCGTATTCTAGAACTCTACTCAATGCTCAAGTCACGATTTGAGTATGGTTTAAAGCACTCGAAATCAAACTCAAGTCCCTTCCATTAGGCTCGTATTTCCAGTGCTTGTGTTTCCATTGCAATCCTGACTTGAGCATTGAGTAGAGTTCTAGAATACGACCCTAGCTCTGTTTGAGTTGAGCTTAAAAGGATGGAAAAGTACTACCTTTATTTTTTTCCATCTTCTGTCCTATGTTTAGCCCGCGCTCAACACAGAAGTCCTTGAAAAGTATAGACGCATAAAATTATTATTTAACAATGCTTCAATCATGAGATAGGATTTTAATTATTATGAACAAGCTTTTGTCACCTTTTCCATAAAACAAATAAATATGAAGAAAGAGGCTGTATGGTTTGCCTACTTAATAAGTGGGGAATAGGGATAGGGATGGGCAATTGATGAAAATATATCGATAAAAATCGTATCGATGTTTATCGAGATAAATATATTGATGATCTAGTATATCTATATCTTTCCCAAAAACAGTAGTAGTCTAAAAATATTCTTAACTATATCTATTAAGTATACCTATAAAGTAAAATTCGAGAAAACAAAGACACGTGTATCCGAATTACACTGTAGACTTTAACGTTTAAGGTTCTAAAAAAAAATTAATTCTAATCTAATATAAATTAAAGACCTCATAAAAGTACTTACTGTTAACCGACAATTGTTTATTAATACATTGATGTATGTTAATAACGTGAAAAATATGTATCAGGAAAAATAATATATGTAGCTAGTGGAAGGTAACCTACCCCGATGGGAAAGCGGCGTCAAATCAATCAAATCTGAATTTGTCAGATACTGACATTCAAAAGAACTCTTTGATTTTCCAATATTTGTAAAGCATTTTGCTGTAACAGCGATAAAAAATATCGTAATGTATACTCGGAAAAATATCGATTTTTGATATATCGAGTTTAAAAATATAGACGACAAATTATTTCATGAAAAAATATCCGTGCTTTTTACATCCCTACAAATAACCAAAATGGCGTGTTGTTGAACATATTCAGCGTAATCTATAGATCGCCATGAAACCTGAAATTGTATTTGAACTATATTGTGTTTGACTGGTTTTTGCAATTCTCTTTATAAAACTGCATAAAATCATTACATCTGAACTAAATTACTTTTAATCGCGAAAATGTCGGAAGGAAGTGTAACTATTTCTCGCCGCAACCGCCCTGGCTCTAAAGCAAAGGTAAAAGTGGTTTATCACAATAGTCGTGGCCGCTTTTGTCTTAAATTATTTATAAATATTTTATAATTTAATGGTTTGGTACATTTTAGGATTGGTGCCACTGGCCAGATGAGCCTTTCGAAGAAATGGACAGTACTCTTGCTGTCCAGCAGTTTATACAGCAAACTATCCGACGTGACCCATCCAATTTGGAAGCTATCTTGAAAATGCCCGAGGCGCAAGATGAAGGTGTTTGGAAATATGAACACTTGAGGTAAGACACAGATTTTTATTTATTTATTTGATAGATTTAGATTTTTTATTTATTTATAGATTGTAGTCACTCATCAGAATTTAATAAGTCTCGATGAGGTCACCACGAAGGCGTCTTTTTTCCAGAGTAGTGAAGCATAATATGTGTAGTCTCTCCTCAGAGCATTTGCATTGAAGAGCCTGTGGCATTTTAGTTGCCTTCCTCTGAACGTTTTCAAGAAGGTGTATGTCGTTTTGGAAAAAAAGACTCCACACTTGATATCAATATTGCAGCGGTGGCCGTATATAGTTCTTAACACGTCTACTGCCATTGTTTGGAACGATCTGCATATGACATTGATATTGGAGTTAGCTTTCTTGACTAGTGTAGTGATATACTCATCCCACTTTAAATTGAAAGTTTCTTATAACTTCTAATGTTACAGGACAAAACAAATTCACTTTTACTAATGTTTTCAGACAATTCTGTATGGAACTCAATGGTCTTGCAGTAAGACTGCAAAATGAATGCAAACCAGAGATATGTACACAGATGACTGCTACAGAGCAATGGATATTCCTGTGTGCAGCACATAAAACTCCAAAGGAGTGCCCTGCTATTGATTACACAAGACACACATTAGATGGGGCTGCTTGTTTGCTCAATAGTAACAAATATTTTCCAAGCAGGTATGTATAATTACTTACTGTATGTGCTGTACGTATTGTAACAATTTTTTTTATATAACCTGTGTAGATAGCGTATAATTTATTGTTATGCTCTGTAAAATTTAGGTTGTACTTCTACATTGAACCATTGATGAAATACAATCAGTGAAATATTGATAATCAATAAAGACTACATACATATTATATAATTTGTGAAATGATGTTAAAATATATCGCCCGTTTGCCAGATCAATGTGTTATCTCTAACACATCAACATATATAAATAACACATTCTCTGGCGAACAAGCCACATATAGAACTATGTCATTTTAATCAGTGTTTCTATATCATGGTAATAACTGAAATTAATTCAATAATTAATAATAGTATAAGATCATTGAGTCTGTCCCACAAACAATGTCAAACTGACATGACATCAGACGCATCCATTATGAAAGGATGGTAAATGGAGTTATGTCAAAAAAATTTGTTACTCTCTTAGATACAGAAAAATATAACCAACATTGTCTCTAATTCTTGTAACTATTGACTAATATTGTAGATAGAGTTACAAGAATTGGGGAGGATGTGGGTTATATATTTTTCTGTATGTAATGTAGCAATAAACATGTATGACATGTGATAATTTTCAGTTTAATTATCTCAGTTTAATAATCTGCCTCCGGTTACCATGCCGGACTGCCCCAGAGGTCCCAGGTTCGATTCCCTGGCCGGGAGAAATGTTTGTATGGCCTACATTTCTTTCTCTCGTGAGTTTGGATGTAATTTGTGGTTGTCTATTTGTGTGTCCATGGCACCCGCGACACAGGGTGTCCCTAGTGCAGGGCTATGTTGAGTGTGTGCGTTATTTATTTATTTAATTTACATATAATGTTACCAAGCAAACCTAAATAATTGTTTAATAGTACAGATAGGGTAACAATTCACCAAAAATACAAAATTTAACTAAAATTGCTTGTTGTGGCTCACCACAATAATTGTTCTGACTTGTTACTCTTGAGTAATTTACAAAAAATCCTTCAAGTAAGGTTTTAAAAAATTACCATCTTATTATTTCTCCATTGGAAGAGTTGATTGATCATGTATATTCAATGTGTCCCATAGTATTTTTTTTTGTCTTGGATGTAACATGTGAAGTTAAAAAATAAACATTAATTATATCTTAGTCTAATTACCTCTAATAGTTATTTATCTATGATTTATTGATTTCTATGATTATCTATGTGGTAAATATGTAATAAGATTACACATTATGCACAGTCATTTATTTATATTAACGCCGAAGTGTACGTACTTCGCGTGCTTATAGTAAGTGAAATTCACTTAATTGCTGCTGCTACACTTCAGAACGCGCTCCATCGTTATCGTAGATAAACACCAGTCGAAAACGCGAAAAATGCGTAATTGTGCCATTATAAACTGCAAAAGCACCATAACTCGTGGGTAAACAGGTAAATAGGAACGTTTCCTTCCACGGGCAAGTGATTTTGTAATCAGGAGATGCATAATTTATTTTAAAAACAATTATTTTTGTATTGTATGAATTTCGAGAAAACAAATATGCAACAGAGTCTATACCTCATATTTGTAATGCATTGCGGCTTTTACTTGATGCGATATATTTGATTTGAACGATTATGATCGTTTGTTAATACGCCATGAATATCGAACGAACGCACTTTCGTATAATGCATTCAGTTTCGTGGCATGTAGCCAGATATGTAGTACGAGTAATACAAAAAAATATATAATGCAAAGAGTTAACAGTGTGCTGTCTTTACTAAAACCTGGAGTTGTTGCTTTCGAGGACGAAGGTGGTCTAGTTTATCCCACCTAAGATGCTATCCAAATATGCAGAGTAGCAGAGTTAGAAATCTGAGAAATAATAAGCAAATCACAAAAATTTCAAATGAGGCCGTCATTAAATAAACCTCTTTTGATTAATAAGATTTTTTTTTTATTTTACCATATTTTGTCAGCAGTAACATTGTCATTTATCTTGCCATTCATCAATTTGATCAATTACCAACAGAAAACCATCTTAATAAAATGAATTAAGGCAGTCGCAAGTTCATCATATATTGACGTGCATTTTCATTATTTAAGTTAATCGATAAGATCTTCTATTACCGCGACACAGGGTTTCCCTAGTGTGGGGCTATGTTGAGTGCGTGCGTTATTATTATTATTATTACAGAAAGATATTATATAATAAGCTAATTTTATTGGAAGGACAATAATTTTAATATTTGAAGTCAATTAAAAATTAGACTTAATTTTTTTTAAGTAATCAGCATTTTTTTAAAACAAGTAAAATAAAGGACTTTACTATCTTATTCTACTATATTAATGTTACGACTACTTGTAATCAACAAATACTTGAACAAAAATTATTCTGTTTAGAATCGATTAATTGAATAGAATACGCGCGTTCAATCAATCGATTTAGAGTGAGCGGAAGGAGGTTTCCATCACTAAATAGTTCTTGTGACGTCATAGTGGGTACAAAAAATGTGGCACGCTTGGTTTTCATACAAATTGCTGTACGTGTGGTGTCTATCTAGTCTAGATATATGTCTGTGAATATATTATGTGTTGTTTTATCATGTTTCAAAAAAAATAATTTGTTGGGTGCTGCTAAAAATTCCCAATTTTGTAGACCTGTAATTTCTAATTTAGCAAAAATTTTGTGAGTATTATGTAAATTTTGACTATTATAATTATCATGTTTCAGAGTAAGTATCAAGGAATCTTCAGTAGCGAAATTGGGATCAGTATGCAGACGGGTGTACAGAATCTTTTCGCATGCATACTTCCATCATCGTTCAATATTTGATGCCTTTGAAAAGGAAACCCATTTATGCAAAAGGTTCACATACTTCGTCACTAAATACTCAATTATATCAAAAGAAATCTTGATATTACCAAAACTTGATGATGAGACTCCTCTTTCTCAACCTGTTGGTGAATCGGAAGCCTGAGAGTTAATTAAACAGTAATTATGGACATTTTACAATACATTAGACTGTGTCTATTGTGGCATTTATCTCTTACATGTAATCATTAGATTAATGATAACAAAGTTTAGTATTTATTTTAAACATTGTTTTTTTATAATATTGTAAAGTTGTAATTTGTGGTATTAAATTCTATATAGACTACTTTATAGCAGACATGTATAAGTTATTAATCATTTCAAAACCAATGTGACCCTTCACTAGTTGTGTGATATCCAGAGATTCATACTTTGTATTATGAAGTAAAAATGCACATATGAGATCTCTAAAATCTGTAGTCAAATACTATGTAAGGTATATACAACCTCTTAAGTAACAAAAATACATATGCTGTATTTGTACTGTGTATTTATCATTTCATATTCCATTTTAATATAAAATTTGAAAGAAATGTTAATAATTCCTTTCTAGCTTTTCTTTATATCTAAATTCTAGCTATTTCCTTGTGGCTTCTTCTGCTTAAACGGTTTTCTAGCCTTATAAGGTTGATTCTGCTTAGAACTATTACTGTTTTGATCTTTTTGCCAGAATTTCTTCCCTTGCATTGTTTGGTACCTGTAAACATATAACTTTTAAATTCACTTAATGTGTCTACTTAAAAAAAAAGAGGTCAACCATTTACCCTATTTGATTCACATCAAGTACAGGATCAACAGAGAGCATTATGTGTATCACTGGTATTTGCCGTTTTACAACAATAGTTTCAAGTCCATCTAGTTTAGGTTCCCAAAATTCATCTACCCTGCAATAATATTTTAAATTATTTACAAATTTATAGCAAAGTTAATGAAAGTATTGTCACAAGTACAAAATAAATAAAACATAATCATTGAATTCTTAGGTTTTCGTGATTGTTACACATAGGAAATGAATTTTTGTTTTGGTTTAAATCACATATATTTGTTTTTTCAAACAAACCAATGTTTCATGCCCTTTACAGGGTCCCATGGTCACAGTTGACAGTTGACCATGGGATCTGTAAAGGACCCGACATGTTGGTTTGTTTGAAAAAACAAATAAATATACACGATTTAAATCCAGAAAAATAGTTTTCACTTCCTATAAAAATTGAAGGTAAGGTGCATTTTTAACTGACTTCAAAAAAAGGAGCAGGTTCTCAATGTAAGAGTTTTTTTTATTACGACATTTGTGAACCAATTTTGACAACTTTTTTGTCAGAAAGGGGTATCTCAGTAGTGGTTCCATTCAAATTCGAAGACAATATACCACCTCTAAGGTGGCAAATTAGCGGATGAATCTGGTTTATTAAATTTCACCCTCTTCCTGTTAACCTATTTCAATAAAACTTGGCACAGATGAAATTCCACAAACTTTTGAGGTTAGTTTTTTTTAATAAAAAATTATAATACTTTTACCATTTTATACACTTGCATGTGATACTACTATTAATAAAATTTATTTGAAAATTGTGTTAACCTTTTGTATGTAAGTTTAGTAACTTGATGTTCTATGTTGAACTGCCTCTTTAGTATTTCTGAACACGATATAGCTTTAGGAATAGCTACTCCTGCTGCAGTCCATACCACTGTTGTTGCAGTTTTGTCTTCTAAAATACCAGATGCATGGGAGAGTAGATTCGTCATTTTACTGCCGCCTTTTACCTGACAAATTAACTTTGGTTATTTTCTAGTGTAAAATGTGTCTTTTGTAAATTTCTCTTACTCTGGAGAGAGGTATAATATATCTAATATATACCTAATAATAATAAATCATTTATGGACTTCAATTTTCAGTGTAATAATTATATCAGTGAAATAAGCACCTGTAACAATAATTATTATATATTACAAGCCTCTGATCAATGACCTTATATACTTATCAATTGGACGTAGTTAAGCAAAAAGGATCCAATCCACAAAATTATCAAGAAATGCATTGACCTACAAGTCAATGAAGAAATGAGTTATACAGTTCCTAAAACAACTCAGGAAAAAATCCAATAAATAAACATAAATAAAGATCTCTGGAGTTACAGGACTTACAAGTTTTGAAAGATCCTTTTTGTTTAACTCCGTTCAAATAACATAAAAACCGATGTTTTATGTTCGTGAATATAACCTCAAAACTTATCTATTAATTCACCTGCATCCAAAGAAAATTTTCCGGTAGATCTTTAATAGGTATTTTACTTCGTTCCAATTCTTCCTCCACATTTTTACCTTTGAAATAGTTTTCCATTATTTTCAAAATATTTATTAATTTTCCTTTTCCTTGAATGAAGGAATGGGATTTGTCAATGTCAATTTATGACTTTTTTTAAGTACAATTTTAACGGCTTTGCCGTTAAGCGATACAGCCTGTACTTCATTTATCTTATTATTTTGATTTTACTTTTCATATAGGTTTTCAATCCTTAGATGACATCAATAGTCCTACAGAATGGAAAAAATCAATAGTGGACATAATTTCTGAAAACGCGTCATGTTTTTCGCCTATGGCATATTGATCTCTATTTTCCCAATAACAAGGTACAAATTTGTGTTATGCAAATATGGAAACGGGCGTCGACGCGCGTAACTTGAGCGCAGTGAGTCGTCAGAGCACTAGAGACTGCTTATTTTTTTAACGTTTAAACGTTATGAGTCGTATTCTAGAACTCTACTCAATGCTCAAGTCAGGATTTGAGTATGGTTTAAAGCACTCAAAATAATATTCAAGTCCCTTCCATTAGAGTCGTATTTCCAGTGCTTGAAATCATACTCAAGTCGTATTTATACCCTATGCTTTTTTTAAAAAGCATGCTTTTTTAAACGCTTTTTCACTTAAACGCGTTTTAGTTTGAAGCTAACAAAATCGTTTAGAAAACGTATAAGTGCATAGACTTTTATGTTAAAAAAAAAGCTTGCAACGTTGTTGTGTTGATAGCGAAACGCAAGGGTAGACCACTAAAGGTTTTAAGATAAGTAAGATTTTTGTAAAAAACGAGTTATATTTTTAACAAAACATTACTATATTAACATTTTGTTCATTGGCGTTTAAAAGCGTTTAAAAACATAAGCTGTTTAACTTTTGTAGTTGTTAACCCTTAGAATAATAACGCATAGACACCTAGTCCGCACACGCTAATTGAGACAAATTGAAGCGCTCCCAATGGGCCTACACGAGCGGGCGGGTCTTCAGTGCTCAAGGTCAACTTGCACCGCGAACAGATCAAGAATTTTAGCTAAAAATGACGAAATGTGCGGTAAATGAGTGTAAAAATACGTCAGACAAACATAAAATAGATACTAACATCACATTCCACAAGGAAGTAACGCGTTTCAACTTGTATAAACCTACTACTAAAACTAGCCTATATGAATTTGATTTTTGCCTCACTTGTGACAGTTCGTTTGATATGAAACAATCATTCTATGCGTTATTAGGTGTTAACCGTTGCAATGGAAAAAACTGCTTGTTTTTTAACGTAAAAACGTACGTTTAAAATGCTTGCTTGTAAAAGCGCTTTTCACTTCAACGCTTTTTAGTTTGACGCTTAAAAAGTCGTTTAGAAAAACATTTAAGCGCACAGACTTTATGTTTAAAAAAAGCTTGCAACGTTATGTTGAATTAATTGGTTTAGGAAACATAGATGGCGCTACTTGAAACTTAGGCACGATGTAAAAAATTAAATTATTGAGTATCCATAGAACTGGCCGGTGACCAACGCTAAATAAAAAGCGTACATATGCGCTTATTTTAAAATGCAGACTTTTTGAGTGCGTTTCGTTTAAACGCCCACCTTTACCGACCACACTGTGATCCAGACGCACTAATGCGAGGGTCGTCGTTCGACGACGCACGTCGCATGTGAGTACTTAAATAAATGTCTTAGAAGCGTGGGTTTTATTACAATATTCTTAAGATATATAAATAACTAATTGTCTAACATTTCACTGCGTTTTATAGACCTATCTGTACATACATATAAGTAATTAGGGAATAAGAATAAGAATAACGCACCCACTCAACACAGCCCCGCACTAGGGAAACCCTGTGTCGCGGGTGCCATGGACACACACATACACAACCACAAGTTACACCCAAACTCACGAGAGAAATAAATGTAGGCCATACAAATATTTCTCCCGGCCCGGGAATCGAACCTGGGACCTCTGCGTGGCAGTCCGGCACGGTAACCGTTCCGCCATGGAGGCAGTTAATGTATGGAATGTATGTAATATGCTGCAATGTTAATGATTTATTATTTATTTTAGTAGCAGTAGAGCTCCCTGTGAAAGAATTCGTCTGGGGTGGTACTGCCACCTTACCTATTTCTGCCGCCAAGCAGTAAGTAACGTGATCATTATTGCGTTTCGATTTTGAAGGGTAAGGGTGCTGGAGACAAGTTGAAAGTCCCACGTGCCTGTAATTTCAACAGGCACCTGGGACTTTCAACTTATGTCTCAGGGTGACGCTAACGGGCGCAGTGACAGTGCCCTTAGGATCTTTGCGATTTAAAGCTCTGAGCGGCACTGCAACTGTTATGGACAGGCGTGTAGTTTACCACCAGGCACACGACTAGTTCGTCCCGTCACTTGATATTATAAAAAAAAATTACCTATATACTTAAATACGTTTTTTAAACCACCAAGGAATCCGTTGTCTAACAATGATATTTTTTTCGAAATGAAGAGTCAGCATTGTAAACTATATTAAGGAAAACAACTCTCTCCGCACCTTCAGCTTTTAAATTCCATTCCTACCTTTGTTTCACATCAAGCTTAGCAATTTGGATCGTTCTTCTCGTAAGCGACCTCAACTCTATAGTTGAAATTAAATTACCCCAGACACTCGACAATTCATACGTGTTACTATACTAATTCATACGTGTTTTGTAACTATACTCATGGACTCTATTCCAATACGTATGCTTAAATCATCTATTTTTATGGTTATGGGCTGAGTTCTTAAGAAGTAGAGATAGATAGATAAATATATAAGTATTCATTATATACATAGGTTTTTTGACACGAATTACTGATACACATTCATGCGTATTATTTGTTAATATATAGGTTAGTAAATATATAGGTTATATACCTACTTTTAGTACGATTGTATGAATAAGTGTTACAATTCCCGTATTAACGACGACCTTTGAGTATGATAAATATAATATCTTTGAATGAGAACACAATTTGCGCAACGTATAAAGGTTATCGGAATGTAAATACGTTAACTAAACTTAGTTATCGAGGGTTCTCGGAGCGGTAAAAACAGTTTAAGAGATAAAACGGAAACCTTATTCGATCAGCCACAATGAGAATTCTGGTATCCATTCTTCTAATTTTCTGTGCTGAATTATGTTTGTCACAGCATCCAAAATTAATTACACCGATAGACGAAAAATTTGTTTGTATCGTTAAGAAGAATTGTGAGCATTGTCTTAGACTGCCGCTATGTTCCTGGTGTCCAACAGAGAATAAATGCTTCTCACAGACATTGGATGCTGATTTTTGTAAAGACAACAGTATTGGCCACGAGGATTTGGGCTGTAAGTGTTTTTTAAATTACACACTTTACTTTTTTACTGAAAAACTTTTGAATGCGCGAACATTAGTGGCGTTGATAAGTAAATATTCCATGCTAAGTCCATGTTAATATTTTTTTTTACTTTTATTAATTTTATGCGGAGGGAGGGTGGGAAAATTAACTACATGAAAAAATATTCAAATCAAGCGCAGCAACTTTACACGATTTATCCTTCACCGGGTTCGCGGAGTAGCAAATTAATTTACTTTCATTTTTATGTAAATAAGGCTTGGCCTGTCGGGTTTGAACTGCGAGGTGTGCTTTTGCTCCTCGGTGACACAGCGGTTTAGTATTATGGGCGCTTGATGAGGAGGTTCCGGGTTCGATTCGCGATTTGGGCTAATTTAGGAAACGACATTTTTGGTCTGGTTTTTTTTTAAATTATTGCTGGCTATGGAAACAAAGTCCTTTAGCCGAAAACATAAACGTTTAATTATATTTCTGTAAATATGGCCACCACAAAGAGGATAGGCAATTTGAGGCGGCGTGCTTGGATTGACTCGGGATTCCTTAGAACGGGCCGATACGGGTATTTTAGTTCGAGATTCGTATAATTTCGCGTTTTAATCTTCGATTAAGGCACAATAGCACTATCCTATTCCACTTTAAACTAGATCTCACAAAATAATTGAAAGTCAAAATAAAAACTACACTTTTCCCTCCAAAAGGCCCAGAGCGAATCCGTTCTGGTCTGGGTATTCTGGGTATTGCCCTCGTAATTATCGTTACTCTGATATTCATGGCACAGGAAATTTCCTAATTTGAGAAAATCGCTGTGATTGTCTCTGGCATTATTTTTTTTCCCTCTAAAAAGAGAGACAGCCGAGATACAACAGCGCTTTATGTATCTTATAATTTTAACTACATCGGGAAGTATGCCTTAAATTTTAACAATTGTGAGACTTGTATTCTCTCTGCGGGACCTCGGCGTACGGCTTCGACACTGACTTCGACTTATGACTTTATTTGAAAAATGAAAATAGTTCTTTAATGGTGGCCATATTTAATTGTTCCGTCTATATTAGTTGATCTACGGTTAAATTATAAATGAATGCATTTACGAACGAATTTTTAGCAGGCACTGCTAGAGGCGTCCGTATGTCAATTTTCAGTCGAATTGGAGCAAGTCCTTTTCCGCAACCATTTTAAAAAACATGTTGACCCTAAATTATGACTAAGGACTTATAGACCTTCGTAGACCAATTTTCAGGCGGATCAATACAAATTTTTCTTTGGCTGCCAATTTGAATGTTTTTGACACAGGCAGTTGACCAATGAGTAACTCTATGACATTCCTTCCTGCACCTACGTATCTCTAATCGTTTCCGTGAAAGACTTCGTTTGTACGGCGGCATCGATATACTCGATGTATGGCGGCGATCTTGTTTGTTTGAATTTCGAACATTTTTTGCTTTCGGTGCACATTTAAATTGCCCAGGATGTACCTACCACATAAAAGTGCATAAATATTCCCTCCATATATTATAGTTTTTGCAGGCTGTTGATCACTCTTCTATATATGCTTTGGACCCAATCCACGTTCAACGGTATAAATATTTTTTTTCCTTCATATCGGGAAGTATGCGTTCTATTTCTATCAGTGAATCATAACTTGTTGCTTTATATTATGTACATATAATAATAGCCTCAAAATATATCATATTATTGAGACAAATCTTTTTTAAAAGATGATATAATTCAGATCGGAGATGTTGTTATTGTATATTTATAATTTACAATTGAATTAAAAGATTTATGTTCCGAGAAATGTTCATAAATAAAAATGGAGCGTAGAATCATGTAAAAAAAAAAACAAAAAGAAAACATTAAACCACCTTTGAATGCAGTCTCATACAGTGTAGCATGATCTGATAGTCAATAATAAAAAATAAATAATGCTGGTGAGCCACAACGCGAAGAACGTCATCTGTGCTCCAACCTTCGATCAAATATACATATAACGGATACGGCTTAACAATGCGGCAGCTTTGGTTATTTATTGATTACAAAGAGAAATACTAGAACTGAAAAATAACATTGTACTTATACATATTTCCTTTGATCACTAATTTCTGACAAAAATAATTAAACAAATTCAGTTGCTTATTCAAAGGTCTGTCCAACATCCATAGATAAGTTTAATTTATTATGCCCTTGTACTGATTAAATTACCTACATGACGGAATCAAAGGTGATTTTTAAGTAGGATATCACAACAAAGAATGTCGGTCGAGCTCGTAAATTGTGTGTATTTCTACAACTACATACTTTGTTAGTTAATAACTTTACACTAGTGATTAGTTACAATAATTACCTTTGTTTCTACAAAAATATAGTTTCGTTTGTTATTACAGTAAGTCTTGAAGAGAACGCGAGCTGCTTATGTCGTGGTGACAAATACGTAAATACAACAACGTGCTTTCCTCCTAGAGAAGACGGTGACACGATACCCTCGGATGAGCCTGCATGTTCAGACCGGGGAAAATGCATTTGTGGCCGATGCTTCTGTGACCTTGTTGCGGACCCAGAACACCCTACAAAGGCACGTATTAATATAAATATATTTTTTATATATATTTATAAGTGTGTAAAACAGTTAGTCAAATGGACGTGTTATGTCACAGCCGTAACTGCTGATGTTAAAAGTATTAAATTTTGACTATAAGTTCCTTTGTTACTTTGTAAGCACCGAATAAGAATGTATCTTTCGCATTTATGCCTTAATCAAGTGAGGAAATCTCAAATATAATTATATTTTAAATTTTCAGTTGGTAATGGGGGATCACTGCGAGTTCGATAACTTTTCATGCCAAGATGAATGCAATGAGGGGCCTTATTTAATAAATCCGCATGTTGCTAACACGGAAACAAAGACCCTGGTAGACGACAGCGACAAAATTGAGGAAATGTGAAATAAGATATAAAAACTGCAATATGAAGCTTTAAACAGTGAATTTTACGAAATAAATATTGGGAACTCAATCTTTTTTCAATCCATTCTAAACGAAGAAGAAAAAATAAAACGTCCTAGACATTTTTGCATAATGCCCAGTTGCTTATACCAAAGCAAATGAAATAATTTCGAACTTACAACCTTAAAGCAAATATCTTGTCAGTGAACAATTCATTTGCGTTGGAAGTGCTTTTACCACGACGTACTCTGTTTAAACGGCTCAATGAACTTAAATACTAACAATATCAATGTTATGTTGTACCTACAGTCTTGGCCAAAAGTATTGAGCACCCATGATAACTCACAGTTTTTTGGGGAATATGAAAATGAAATAATTTGAAACAATTTACACATGTTAATATTACTATTTATTAAATAAAAATCAATATTTCGTGTGCCCACCCTTTGCCTTAAATACGGCAGAAATTCTTTTTGGTAGAGAGCGGACAAGATTTTTACAGTCTTCAGGACGTATAGCGTTCCATTCTTGGACGCAGACGGCGTTTTAGTTCTTCCTTTGTATTTATTGGGTGGCGCCTGACGTTGCGCTTTAATAAACCCCATAAATGTTCTATGGGGTTTAGGTCCGGAGACTGGGCAGGCCACTCCAGAAACTCAATGTTTTTTTCTCTAAACCATGTCATAGTGCTGGCAGATTTATGACATGACGCGTTATCCTGCTGGAATTTGACGCCATCCATATTTGTATCGCCAAAAAGAGTTGAAAATGATGGCAGCAACGCAGATTCCAGGGCGTTGATGTATTTTGAAGAGTTCATGCGACCCTCACACACAAACATTTCGCCAACTCCTGAATGAGTCATGCAGCCCCAGATCATTATGCTGCCTCCGCCGAGTTTTACGGTTGGCACTATACAGGCTGGACTAAATTCTTCGCCTGCCCGGCGGCGCACAAAAGTCACACCAGGTGTACCAAAAATCTGAAATTTTTTTTAAATGTAGTGACTTCGGAAATCTAAAATATTTTTGTTATTGAATTTTATTTTCAAATCACATTGTTTAATATCTTAAGAACGTGAAATTGTCTAACTCACCTCAAAGTTTGACTCGTCTGACCACACGACATTTGATTGGTCAAATGTCGTGTGGTCAGACGAGTCCTTCGGTGAAACTTTGATATTTTAAGGCCCATTCATTCCGAGCCTTCTTGTTGTTTTGTGAGAGCCATGGTTTCTTCCTGGCTTTACAGCCTTTCAGACCAACTTCCTGAAGCCTTCTTCGAGTAGTGCGAGCAGAAATAGGTCTGTTAATTTCGACAGAGAAATCAGCAGCGAGATCTGAAGAAGTTTTCTTCCTATTTTTTAACGATTCTTCTCGATTTTCTCTCATTAACTTTCGGTCCTCACGATCTGTGGTGATGCGTTTGCGCCCTGTTCTGTATCTGTTACTATGGGACCCAGTCTCGGCGAATCGCTCAATAGTTAATTGCACAGATCGGCGCGAACATTTCGCAGTTTTAGAAATCTCTACCTGTGATTTCCCTTGCTCATGCAGAAGTTGTATCTGCACACGTTGTTCTAAACTAAGTTCATTTTTTTGAATGGAACTAAACAAAATACCAAAAGCGCACTAGATCACTGGATGTGCACGTAACGAATGATAGTAGTGAACTGAGAAGTAAATACAAAAATCGTAAAATGACAAATTTTATGGCACCAGGTTTTATTGCTAGTTACGGTGTGGGGGTCATTTGTTTTTAAACCTTTGTAGATGCCGAAAAAATAATCCTTAACAATAGGACCTGTTTTCTGCAATACTTATTGTGCCCGTTCCGGATTTTTAGGGTCCTCAATACTTTTGGCCAAGGCTGTAGGTAATAAGTACCGAACATACTAAGAACACCGCTAACAGTTATGTCACAAGTAGGTAATCCTTTAAATACTAATCGAGCGCTACAATTATTGAAATGTTAAGTCATAAACATATCTTAGACATAAGATTTAGGTAGGGATTTCAGCGCTGGGAGCGCTGCTGAAGCGAAAATTCACAGCTCAATTAAGGAATCGATGTGAACCAACGTCTGTCGATGATGGCTCATCGGACTCAAGTACCTGTTCGCTATACCACGCGAAATTAGATTTCAACGAGTCTATTTTCTCCACCAGAACGACTTTATCTTTTATTTTCATGATGTCTGTCGAACGCCACGCTCCCAAGAATAGACGTTTTCTCAAGGCGTTTCCAATAGATAAAATTATTCGGCGTAAAATTTATAGCTGTTGTCGTTAAGCAGTAGGTAAGTTTCGGTATTTAGAAATGTTCTCAATTTTGTTGTTTTGTGAATATAGAGTAGGTAGAGTTTACAATAATTGATAATATAAAAGTATGACGACGGTATCAAATAGCGGTAGGTACCGACAAATATATGTATAGAATACTGGAAAATTTAGTTCCATTTTTTTAGTTATATTCTTTTTTTCTTTTAGTTTGCAGATGAGTTTAACATATATGTATACAATCTATGTGTCCTACAGTAACGACGACTATTTAAATACTTAGTGCCTAACTTAAGCGAATTTTGAAATTCTAAATTGAACGTATGCTGGTAACACAATTACTTGTACAATAATTGTGATGGAATGCAGCACCCGAGTGATTGGTGGATGCGACCAATTCAATTACTAGCAGCGCCTAAATTGTTTTATTGATGACAGTAATCTCCCACAATATCTACTCATGAAACGCGTCGCTGTTTAAATCAATCTTTGTTTCCTATAAAAAAGAAATTATTTAAATCATTTATTATTTTTCTCTATGACGCCAAAATCTCCATAATTTTAGGGTAATTGTTCGATCGATACAAGTTACAATTCCTAATGAGAACAAAGGTATTTATAAAGTTGCGAGGTAGTACCTAAGAGGTACCTAGGTTTACCTATCAGTAATTCATATAAGTTTTTTTTACAATATCAAGTGAAAGGACGAACCAGTCGTACGCCTAGTGTTAAGTAAAATGCCTGTCCATAACAGTTGCAGTGCCACTCAGAGCTTTAAAGCGCAAAGCTCTCAGGGGCACTACTGTTGTGCCCTGAGTATTGACAAGTATAATATCATTGCCTAGAGACATAAGTTGACCCCTACCCTTCAAAACCGGAACGCAATAATGCCTACATCAGTCCTTGGTGGCAGATATAGGCAAGGTGGCACTTACCTGAATGAACTCTATTACAAGGAGCTCAACTGCTGCTAAACAGCTAGTAAACAAAGAAACACCTTGTAAAATTTTTAATTTGCTTAATAATTTGAAAAAGACAGCGATACTCCGTTCTTGTAGCTCATGTACAGCCATAAACGTTCATTATGTGTGTGAACAAATTAAGTGTACTTACGTAAAATAAGGTACCGGCGGGTTAGGTCTAGCTAAGGGAGATTTGAAATAAAACTAAAGCCATCATAGTAAATCAACATATTTTACTAAAAATCAGTCTTATAGATTTGAACTGGAACAGCATATAAACTTAAAATGGCATATTCTGCCATAAACAAAATCAAAATTAAACATAAAAAAAAACCATGCCAGTAGGCCTTTATATTAGTAGTAGTAATAATTTACTATAGAAAAGGCCTATTAGCTTTAACTTACAATATAATCGAAATACAGACTAAATTCGAAACTTCACATCAATAATCAGATAAATGCAGTTATTTCACTAGCTATATTTGCAACATGTTTATAAATTACTTCTTTAACAACTATCAGGGCACTCAAAAGCATCAGCATCATCCACCCATAAACCGATGCACTCCTCGTGATACGACCCAAAAGCTTTTTAAAACTACCACTCTTGAGATGGTTTTTTATGGTTCTTCTGGGGACCCTGTACCTTTCATAAGCTTTGTATGTACTCAATACACCCGACTCCAGGTTTTCTACAGACCATAATTGCACGTTTGGGTGGTATTGTGGTCGCAGGCACTAAAAACAAGGCAAATAAAAGAACAAACTCCGCACAAACTCCGGCTTGACAAAGGTGACGGGCAGCTTAGCGTAAGCTTGAGTGTAATGCGTTGTGTGTGTGTCGTTTGAGCGCGAACGCCAAAGTTAAATACGAACATACGATTTCTGTTACTTAGGCCTTATAAGTCGACATACGACCTATACTCTATAGAGGTCCACGCTACTGAATTTTATGGACGAAAGTACGACAAATTGAATTCTTGGAAACCATTGCAATGACCTTTTTGGAAACCCTCACAATGGTATATTGTAACAGGCTGATTGGTGTTCGGAACTCGACGTTTAGACACCAATTTTGCGTAGGTGCCATATTCCTACTCGTGCCACCCGAACTTTTCCAAGAATCTCAGTATCCTCCTGGGTTTGAAGACTTCGGGCATTGACATTGGCACTCCAAAGTACCTCGCCCTGATCAACTAGACCACGCCGCCGGAGCATTGTAGTAGGATATGCAAATACGTTTCCTTTTCCGTTCCGAACGGGAACGGGAACGGGAACGGGAACGGGAACGGGAACGGGAACG